GGAGGGCTGCGAGGACCTCTCTCCCTGAGGACGAAGGAGCAGGGAGACATCTTGTGCCAGACAGACTGTAACCCCCATTCCCTGCCCCCTGCGCTGCTGTGGGGGGAAGATGGAGCAGAGCTGAGCCTGGGAAGACCAGAGGGGTGGGAGAGGTCTGTTGGTTTTAAGACCTCATTGTATCTCCCATTATCCTTGATGGTGGCAGTTGTTTGTATCAAATATATGTTTTTATCCCCAAGTTGAGGCTGTCTTTTGCCCGTGACCATAACTGGTGAGTGAGTGCTCCCTGCCCTTTGTCTTGACCCTCAAGCCTTGGTTGCATTTTCTCCTCCCCATCCCCCAGGGGACAGGGTAGAGGTGAGGGAGCGGCTGCTGCGTGGTGCTTTTGTTGCCAGCTGGGTAGGCTCAAACCATGACAGTGTTTGTCAAAGCAGTGGTTTATCTGGCTGCTTCTCTAGGGAAGAGCTCTGAATGTTCTCTGAGCCCACTGTTGCCTGCAGGTTTTCTTTTGTGCTGGGTTAGCAGAGGGTTTGGGTGTTAACCTCAAAGATCTGGGCATTATCTTTGCTGAGCTCTGCTTTGTGTGTACTTTCGCATGGTGAACTGCTGCTTAAGAGAGAGAAAGAAAACCCCCAAACCTACCTTTATATCTATCGATCCTGAAGCCAGACTTAATGTTAGGTTTGGCTTTGGGGTTGAGTAGGGTCAGATTTAGTGGAGAGAAATCCATGCTCTGAGATGTGGATGTACAGACCCTTTGGGAAGCCCCAGACGAGCATTGATAGCGTCTAAAGGGCACGGATCCCTTACTCCACTTCTCCTTTTTGTTGGTTTTTTTTTTTTTTCCCTGTGGTGTATTGTTTTACTTTCATTTTTGTTCTTCACCCTTCTCTTTGACCCTATTTGTAGCTTGTGTGCAGCATTTTTCTTCCTATTCAGGGTGTTTGCTGCAGTCTTTGCATTTGCTACACGATGTTGGCATTGCAGTCTCACCGGAGTACCTGGCAGGCACTTTAAGCCTTGCTGTTTGTTTTCATGGCTTTTTTTCCTATTTGTTTTGCAATATGTTGTACTTTTTCTTTTCTATTCATTTTGATTCTATTTCAGTTCTATTCGATCGATCTAATTCGATCCTATTTTCTTGAATCCCAAGCGTCTCTGTTCTTGTAGCTCTATCAAGCTCAGCGATAATGCAAAACCAAAGTGAAAAAAATTCTGTAGTTATCTTGGAAGCAGAGGAAAACCTGAAGGTGATGTGTGAAGGCTCAAATAAAAGAGGAAATTGTGAAAAAAGTTTTAAAATGTGTCAAAATCTCACATTCTTAAGGGCTATAGGAATGCACTATAGTGTGCCTCAAAGATCAAAGAAGTAGGACACATACTATGTATTGTTAACTTAGCTAAGTGTTAGGCTGTTACCATAATTTAGTTTCCTGGTTTCCTTTTTACTAGCAGTGAAAAAAACCAGCCACCTCCAGATCATGATGTATTTTCTCCTCCTGTGAAAGTACGTGGTGAGAAGTTATTAGTTGCCATAATTATTACAAGTGAAAACTCTGAAAATCCTTAGGGAAGTTTGGATGGGCCATGACTAATGAGAGATTCCATTTTGTACTACAAAGAAAGTGTGTGGTGGGGAGGAGAGAAGGAAACCCATGATCTACCTGGACATGTGGTGCACTTCAAAGCAGAGCTTATGTTTTTTTCTATTCAGGTTTTAATTGTTATAGTACGCTATATATATTTATATATGGGTTTATATCTATGCATGTAAAGAGAGAGGGAGAAAGAGTGCGTTTGGTTCCATAAATCTTGGAAAATTCTGCTTTAAAATGCTGGTTAATTTAGAAACTTTTATTTCTACTTTCATTAACAATATTTGAGGAAAAAAATGGTTATAGTATTTCCAAAGTGAAATATTTGATTTAGAAAATACCACTGTGTCCTTATTTTTGTGGGGTTTGGGGGTTTTTTTTAAGCAGAATTTATGTTCTGGGCTTTTGTATTTGTATCATCTTTGCCTTTTCACTCCAAGGAGCCATCTCGAATCCTGTTACTGCTACTACTAATGAGATACATCTGTCCAGCTCAGGAATTCCTCATTTCATATCCAAAGACTATTATCATTGTGAGAGTGTCTCTGTACAGACGATAAGAACAATCACAGGACTTCTCTGGCCGCCAAATCACTCTGCAGGTTCATCTGGGTTGCAGCAGAGCATGTGGGCAGTGGACACAAGCAGGCAACAAGACCTTGGAGTGAACCTGGGCATGATGTAACTCAGCTGTACAGGACCCCATGTCATTTATTTTGCATTCAAACATAGACTTTTCTCTTCCACATAGTTATGGGGCTCTTGGTCCAGCCAACAGCAGTCATCTTCACCTTGGTATTGGTATCTACACACCATCCCACTGCAGGTAATTTTGCTCTGTAACGGGCTAATTTCGCTCTGTACTAAACTCATTTCAGAGACTATGAATAGATTTGAACTGATGCCCCCTATGGCTTTCTTCTCCACTGAAGGAGATCCAGATTTAGAGGATTTCTTTGGATTTCATGTGAACACAGATGTATGTTCTGGGATTCAGTGTGCTCAACTATAGGCATTAAAATTGAGCGTCTGAGTGCTATTTTTCTAAGGTGCGTGTACAGCCAATAGGAGAAAACGGGCCCTCCCAGAGCGTAACAACTCGTTTATGTCAGATTCCCATCTTCCCAGGGAATGAATTGCTCTGTAGGGAATGCAGTTTCTCTAGAAGATGATTGCCTCAATGAGACACTTATTTTTTCGGTGGCGAAAATCTGGTGAGATGAACACACCTAGATAACCTAACGTTGTCAGCGCTGCAAAGGGAGGGGGTAGGTTATTTCGACTCGCATGATGTGCTGGATGCTGGTCATTTAAAATGGGGATGGCTTTTAACAACTTGTCTTTCAAATGCATCTATGTGCTTTTCTTGATCCTCCAATTTGCAGCTGCCGCTACTGATCAGAGCTGTGGGAGGATGTGCTGATGTCATAGGACAAGGGCTGCATCTTCAGAGGGGAAGGCACCTGTAGGGCATCTTAAATGCAAAACTTCTCACAGAACTTCTTCCCCCTTAGCCTTTAAAACCACTGTGATTGCTGAGCACAGCTCACCCGTTTGTCACTCTCTTCTGCAGGTGGTGGTCATGATCCGTTGCTTGTCTTGGATGGTTACGAGGACGATGGTATTCGACTCAAATGTTTCTCTGAGAGGTTGTTTGCTGAAGTCCAGGTGTTGTGGACAGATGGTGGAGGAGACAATGTCACTGGGACTCCTGTCACCACCAGCACCACCACTGCTAAAGCCAGCAGCTCCATCGTTCTGAAACCAGGATCTGGAAAATCTGTGTCCTGCAAAATAATTGATAAGCTGCTGAAAACATCAACAGAATCTTCAGTTGTCATTGCAGGTGAGTATGAGATTGTGTTCTTGTGGACTGGGAGGAAAAATAGTGAGCTGATGCATACAGGGCAGATTGCATCAGGAACCCAAATTTCTAGTGGAATAGAATAATCAGCTTTCACAGTTTTCTTCTGTGATACTTCTTGGTCTTTGCACTGAACCACGATTAGTTTCCATGGGCAACTCCCAAAATATGATAAAAACACTCCTCCATGGGTGTGATGCCATCTGCGAGAAATGAAATCTTGTTATCAGGTGGTGCCTCTTCTCACTTGCAGGGACAGAGGAGGCTGTTCCAGCTTTCTCTCTCATTTTCTTCTGCTGCTGTTTCTATTGCTATAACATCCGATGCAGTGGTTTACACAAATCACTGATGGTGCTTTGTAAAATAGTCGAGGGAAGTAAAAGTCCCAGTGAACTGCTCCTACAGGTGTCTAAGAATGAAATTTAGATCCAAATTCATTTTGTCACTGTAGGCATGTAATCAAAGTATAAAGGTGATAGTTCAAAGAAAGTTGTAACTGATCGTCTGAAATAACTTGCAGATGTCTTCTTTCCTGCCACCTCCCCTTGGCTGGCAGCTTTTGTCGTGATCCTGCTCTTGAGCATATTCCTGGTTCTCTCTGCAATGTATAAATTCAGAGGTAAGTTCCACTCTTAATGGCGAAGTGATAAATGCTTCATACAATCCAGTTGAAAGACAACATCACCGTGTCCAGAATTACGTGGGTACAGGATTATGAACACTCACGCTTGTGGTTCTTCAGACATAGCTTTTTACTGTATTTTTGCTTTCCTTGCTTATTCATTTTTAAGCATCTCTCAACTACTCCAACATCTTGGGGTATAAGCCTCTATAATCACATTTGCCAATATGAACTGACCTAT